GCAAGGATAGACACATGGATGATGGATGCATGCACAGACAGGAGGATGAAGGTGGGTTGACAGATAGGTGGACAGTGGGTTGACCGAAAGGTGGACGGATGGATAAATGGATGGACAGACAGAAGGACGCATGAGTGGGTGGATGAATTCTATAAGACTCCTGCATCTGACCATGTTCAGCAAGACACAGGGAGTTTTTGAATATACATTTTTTCATTTTACTCTAACCATATGGCTTTAGGTTTCTGAAAAATAAACTATAGAACTAAAAACAGACTGACCAATGATCATTTGATGTGTGGTTACTGTATAAGTGGCTGTGAATGTGCTTCCTGTATATTCTGATCAGGTGCTGGAGTCACACATGCAGAAAGAGCTTCAGTCCAGTCGAAGCATATACACCGCGTTTGATCTCATGAAGACTCCAACCATGAGAAAGATCTCCCTGTGTCTGATGGTCGTCTGGTGAGACTTGTCTTTTAATCTTCTAAACGTTGAAGGTGGCTAATTCCAAACTTTCAATCAGTTGATTAAAAAGTGTGTGATACTTAACACTATAAATGCACACACATTGCCCAGTGTCACATTATCTTCTGACCAAGTTTTGAGAGATTACTATTCAACAATTCAACTTGTTATCCCACTGTGTAAGCTGCTTGGGTCAGTGAAGCTGACTCTTTTAAAGAGTCACAACAACCCCTGAGACTCAGTAGGATGGTCAGCCATGATTTAAGGCCTCTACACACCGAGTAGGGTTTCTCAGGAGGGTGCTCTTCATATGGGTTGAGGGAATACTGATGCAATGATGCTCTCTGCCTGAAGATGGCGTTTGCACCAGATCCCCCCGCACCAGGTGTAGTAAGAGGAAAGAAGAAGACAACAGAGAAGAAATCAAAGAACACCTAGACAAAATCTTGCGGTGTATGTTGTTTGTGGCTGGTCATAGGGAGCTCTTTGACATAAATGTGAAGGAAAAAGAGGATTTGTGTCGCGCTGTTTCTTTCGTGTTTCCTTTACGAAGTCGCTATGAAAATGTAGAATCAGCGCCAAGGAGTGGCTCTTTTGCATCCTACTCGTGACATAAAAGGAGCCACTTTCATTGGTAATTCTCCCTGTAAAAAATGGATTCTATATGGCAGTACGAACTCTTTCTCATTGGGACCACTTGTTCGGATAGATGTGTGATGTCCCGTTGGTACCCCTGGCTTAAGATCGAGGTGTGTTCTCGCACAAAACTTCAGACCAAAAACTCGGTGTGTATTCAGAGCAAATTTGCAAAACTGCTCATTTTCTCTCACCTGTAATTCAGTGACTGATGTTTTGTGCTTCAGAGAGCAGTGTAGAAGTGGAGGATTGCTCAGATTCTTCTGTTTACTACTGAAAACTTATCAAGATCAATTGTATTTATGGCATTAATAAATTTGCTGCCACATGGGGAAATAAGGCAGTACTATTGTAACGCTACATTTATGCAAAGGTATTTGGTAGTTGTGACTCGTAGCAACAGACAGAGTAAACAGAAAGGCTCCCATCTTGAGCATATTTCTAGTCTGATGTACATCTCTACAAACTTTATTTACTCATCAATTACATTATTTACACAAAGGGTTTAATGACTTTTGCCTAAAAAACCTAGGCAGGACCATTGACGGCTACACTGAACAGAGCAGACTTGCCGTTGTCATTACGTCATAAAAAAAGATCATTTACGCTGCCAACGATCAAATTCAGAGAAGTCATTCTCAAATTCTACTTTAAAATTACAAAATAAGTTGCCTGTGAGAGGGGAATGCATGAGTCCGACTCGAGGCGGAGCTCTGATTAGGAAGCTCTTATCAAGGAGTTGTGTGTGTGCATGTGTACCCGTCAATGGCAGTTACTAGGACGCCCTGGTGGTTGCCTCATATTAGCCCAATGGCAGTAGGTGGTGTCACATTGTCCATTTTTTTGTTACAGTCTATGGTTCAGTGCAGCGTGAGCTTTGCAGACGAATGGAAACAATGCTTTTGTGCATATTTCTGAAATTTTAACAAATTCGCGAAACCACTCACCGATTGGATAGTTAGTCATGCATATTAACATATTAATAAACCATGTGATTGTCTTGGGACCTTCGGATAGAGAACAATGTATTTTTCTCCATTAATGCAACTTTAGCCTGGATTTAGGGCCTGTAATCCCCATGTAATGCCAACCTGAGTTTTAGATTCAGATTTAGATTCCCACAGTCCCATTTTGGAAGTAGGTGATGAGCCTGCAAGTCCAACCTTGAGAGACAGGTCTGAACCATACTTGTGGTTGTCCAGTAAAAGTGCTTGAATTGTTGGATGCTACCAGCAGAAAGGAAATGTCTCCAAGCAAAGACTGGCATGTTGGTTAGTGGCTGCTATCAGATGTTGCATAGCCCCTGTTAGTTAGGGCCCACTCCACGAGAGTTAGGGACACTTCATCACCATTAGAGAGAGGGACTCTACGGGTGGATTTCTTTAAAGAAAAATACATTCATAATATCATATAACTTGAAACTGGAATCCGAGTGGTGGAAGTAGCTAAAGGATTGAGAAAAAGGGTTATCTGGCTGTATGCCCAGTACAGACCAAAAGAGATAACATCGTAGCTCATCACTAGAGATTAGTGGAGCCGTCAGTAGGGGGCGTACCACTGTTTAGTCACCTAATAATGAGTGACTTCTCTTATTAAAATTACAAGGAAACGTAAATCCATATATAAACAAAGCAATCAAATTCCGTGTTTTTGTATGTTTTTTTTTTTTTTTTCAAAAATTGTATGTGTGCCCAAAGTATAAACACGAAACTCAATGGGTTCGAGAAATAAACTACTCATGGAGTTGGCATGGCAACTGTCAGTGACTGGTGCAGGAGCTGTGTCTTGATAGAGTTCGTTTTCAGCAGTCGAGGAATCCCTTGGAAAATGCTACCCTGCGATGGTCGCTATTCATTAGCATAAAGTTAAATATCTTTTTTACTTTTGTCACTCATTGCTGACCACTCCCACAATGTTCTGCCAACAGTCGCTCATGCTCTAGTACCCAGCCCCTGCAAGGTACTACTCTTTGGTGTGACTTGCCTGTGCCATTGATTGAGTCAGGTTTAAGACTTGGATCAAAAGGAGATCCTCAGAATTTTAAGAAACTGAGACTTACTTCAGGGAATTTAAATAAAAAAAAGAATTTAACCAGGACTTTTCAGTTATTTGCCGTAAATTACCAGGAAGGCCTAGAGGTTAAGGAGTTGGACAAAAGATCCAAGGGACAAATGTCTTTGTGAGTTCCAACCTCACTCCTGGTAGAAATTGATTCCATTTTTTACCCCAAAGGCATCTCAATGTTTGACTTGCAAATTGATTCTAAATAACTTTGAGTTTTTATTAAGAAATTTTTAGAAACTGAGACTTGCTTCAGGGAATTTAAATTAAAAAAAGAACTTAACCAGAACTTTTTAAAATCAAGTTTTCATATATGACCAGAATGGTCGAGAGGTTAAGGCGTTGGACTTAAGATCCAATGGACAAATGTCCTCGTGGGTTCGAACCCCACTCCTGGTAGAGATTGATTCCAACATTTACCCCAAAGTCATCTCAATGTTTGATCTGCAAATTGGTTCTCTTTATCTTTGGGTTTTTATTAAGAACATTTTTTTAGAAACTGAGAAATACTACAGGGAATTTAAAGTAAAACAAGAATTTAACCAGGACTTTTCAATCAAGTTGCCATATATGACCACGATATCCGATTGGTTAAGGCGTTGGACTCAAGATCTAAAAGTCAAATGTTCTCGTGGGCTTGAACCCCACTCCTGGTAGAGATTGATTTCTTCTTTTAGTCCAAAAGGCATCTCAATGTTTGACTTGCAAATTGATTCTAAATAACTTTGAGTTTTTATTAAGACATTTTCAGAAACTGAGACAAAATATAGGGATTTAAAAAAAAAAAAATTAAACCAAAACTTTTCTGCGTGTATGACCAGGATGGCCGAGAGGTTAAGGTGTTGGACTTAAGATCCAATGGACAAATGTCCTCGTGGGTTTGAGCCCCACTCCTGGTAGAGACTGATTCCGTCCTTTAACCCAAAAGGCATCTCAATGTTTGATTCTCAAATTGATTCTTTTTATCTTTGGGTTTTTATTAAGAAATTTTTAGAAACTGAGACTTGCTTCAGCGAATTTAAAGTAAAAAAAGAATTTAACCAGGACTTTTTTAATACAAGTTTTCATATATGACCAGGATGGCCGAGAGGTTAAGGCGTTGGACTTAAGATCCAATGGACAAATGTCCTCGTGGGTTCGAACCTCACTCCTGGTAGAGATTGATTCCCACATTTACCCCAAAGGCATCTCAATGTTTGATCCGCAAATTGGTTCTGTTTATCTTTGGGTTTTATTAAGAAATTTTTAGAAACTGAGACTTACTTCAGGTAATTTAAATTAAAAAAAGAACTTAACCAGAACTTTTTAAAATCAAGTTTTCATATATGACCAGAATGGTCGAGAGGTTAAGGCGTTGGACTTAAGATCCAATGGACAAATGTCCTCAGGGGTTTGAACCCCACTCCTGGTAGAGACTGATTCCGTCCTTTAACCCAAAAGGCATCTCATTGTTGATTTGAAATTGGTTCTCTTTATCTTTGGGTTTTTATTAAGAACATTTTTTTAAGAAACTGAGAAATACCACAGGGAATTTAAAGTAAAACAAGAATTTAACCAGGACTTTTCAATCAAGTTGCCATATATGACCACGATGTCCGATTGGTTAAGGCGTTGGACTCAACATCAAAAAGTCAAATGTTCTCGTGGGCTTGAACCCTACTCCTGGTAGAGATTGATTTCTTTTTTGGCTCAGCGGCATCTCAATGTTTAATTCCCAAATTGATTGTGATTATCTTTGAGTTTTTTTTTTAAGAAACTGAGACTTACTTCAAGGAATTTAAAGGGGGGAAAAAAAAAGAATTTAACCAGGACTTTTCAGTTATTTGCCATAAATTACCAGGAAGGCCTAGAGGTTAAGGAGTTGGACAAAAGATCCAAGGGACAAAAGTCTTTGTGAGTTCGAACCTCACTCCTGGTAGAAATTGATTCCATTTTTTACCCCAAAGGCATCTCAATGTTTGATTCTCAAATTGATTCTGTTTATCTTTGGGTTTTTATTAAAAACATTTTTAGAAACTGAGACATACTTCAGGTAATTTAAAGTAAAAAAAGAATTTAACCAGGACTTTTTTTAATACAAGTGTTCATATGCGACCAGGATGCCCGAAAGGTTAAGGCGTTGGACTTAAGATCCAATGGACAAATGTCCTCGTGGGTTCGAACCCCACTCCTGGTAGACATATATTTCTTCTTTTAGTCCAAAAGGCATCTCAATGTTTGACTTGCAAATTGATTCTAAATAACTTTGAGTTTTTATTAAGACATTTTCAGAAACTGAAACAAAATATAGGGATTTAAAAAAAAAAAATTCAACCAAAACTTTTCTGCGTGTATGACCAGGATGGCCGAGAGGTTAAGGCGTTGGACTTAAGATCCAATGGACAAATGTCCTCGTGGGTTCGAACCCCACTCCTGGTAGAGAGTGATTCCTTCTTTTAGCCCAAAAGGCATCTCAATGTTTGATTCTCAAATTGATTCTGTTTATCTTTGGGTTTTTAATAAGAAATTTTTAGAAACTGAGAAATACTACAGGGAATTTAAAGTAAAAAAAGAATTTAACCAGGACTTTTTTAATACAAGTGTTCATATACGACCAGGATGGCCGAGAGGTTAAGGCGTTGGACTTAAGATCCAATGGACAAATGTCCTCGTGGGTTTGAACCCCACTCCTGGTAGAGATTGATTCCAACATTTACCCCAAAGTCATCTCAATGTTTAAATCGCAATAGGTTCTGTTTATCATTGGGTTTTTATTAAGAAACTTTAAGAAACTGAGACTTACTTCAGGGAATTTAAATAAAAAAAAAAAAGAATTTAACCAGGACTTTTCAGTTATTTGCCGAATATTACCAGGATGGCCTAGAGGTTAAGGTGTTGGACTTAAGCTGAGGATCTCCTTTTGATGACCAGTATTGGAGTAGAACATGATTAGACCTCTGGTGTTCCCATTGGTTGGCAATTTTTTCAAGGTTTTTGGAGATGATGTGGTTCATGGCTCCTTGACATGGTTGAAGAGTGTTTCTTGTTATAAAGAAAGGGCTTTGGCCCTGTGCAGTTTATTCTAGGGGATAGCCGTTACCTTAATTTAGCTCATACCTGCAAGAAAGTTCAGAAAGATTCTTTAGGATAGGCTAAACTAACCAATCAAGTTGATGTTTTGATCCAGAATCTAAATGATTTAAGTCATTACCAGGTCCTGTGTTAAAATTAACATGACCCATTTCCCCTGACAGGTTTTCAACAAGCTTTGCATATTATGGTCTGGCCATGGACCTGCAGAAGTTTGGGGTCAACATCTACCTCATGCAGTTGATCTTTGGGGCTGTGGACTTTCCTGCCAAACTGGTAGCTCTGCTGATGCTAAGCTTTCTGGGACGGCGTTTGACTCAAGGCTTGTGTCTCCTAGTGTCAGCATCAATCATATTCTCCAACATATTTGTACCCTCAGGTGAAGCAATGTCTTTTGATGTCTTATGAAGCAACCTTTCTAAATTATTGCCTTTAGACTTCCAGAAATCTATGATAATCACGGCCTATTGTCTGCTTTATTGTTTGCTTGTGGACCAATGTAAACGTTGATTTCCTTTCAGTCTGTCCACCTGGCATTATGTTCAGACTGCTTTTCTACTGCACCAATTATCAATTAGATCTCTTTCATTGTGCAATGAGAATTAGCTGAGCACACAAAATTCATGAAAACACAATAATCAAAGAATGTCTGAGTAACAATCTTTCCTCTCCCTCTAAATACGGTATTCAGGCAAGTTTGAGTACACAATGGTGTACGGTGATTTTCTTTTTATGAAGTCAAGCAGGCTTCCCAGGGTGTGTTTGCTCAAAGGTGAAGAGGCAGGGGTGCAATAAACTGGCCAGAGCAGACAGGAGGGCTGTGATAGAGAACGTCATTTGACAAGGCTTTTACAGACTCAGCGTTTGCTCAAGCTCTTTCGCTCACTTGAGAGTAACAGACTGAAGTTCCGTTATAATATATAAGATATAAGATGAAATATAAGATATAAAGTTGTTCTCATGAGTTGCAAATTATTTTATTTCTTGGGCAATTTTTAGAAAATATGAAAGATAACAAAACAAAAAAAAACAAACATTTTTACCCCACTGAATCTTAGTCGTTGGGTAAAGCCATGGCCACTCCAGTACCTTCACTTTATTCTGGTGGAACCAATGACAGGTGGACTTATCCTTGTGTTTTGGATCGTGGTCTTGTTGGAATGTCTAGTAATGTCCCATGCGCAGCTTCCAGCATCTTCCTCTAGTATCCTTTGATATCATGCTGCATTTATCTTCTATTCTTGTGCCTTTGGAGCTCAGACATCCCCGAAACAACAGTGACCCACCTCCGTGTTTCACAGTGGGGATGGTGGTCTTAGGCCTTGTTGACTTCTTTCCAATTGTAGTGTTTATGGTTGTGGTCAGAAAGTTGTCTCATCTCTCCAAATAACATTGTTCCTGACCTTTGTTCATCATATTGTCAGCCATGTAATGCAATTTTCTCAAAATGCCTCCTTATTGTGTTCCTTTAAACACATGCCACATTTTTGTCAGAGAGCCCTGTATTTCAGCTGAAGTTTTTTTCTTTGCATCCCTTACCAGTTTTCTGGCAGTTGTAGCAGAAATGTTTGTTGGTTTCATCAGAATGAACACTGTTGATTGATATTTTTTTATATCCCTTTCCTGTTTTGTACAGTTCAAAACCTTTTCCTGTAGATCCTTTGACAGCTTTTTTTACTTTCCCCATCACACTGAGAATTCAGAAATGGATGAAAGAGGCAAGGGTCAATCAGGAGCCAGAAACTCAGAAACATTTTATACATAAATATTGATCACAAGCAAACAGCTCCCAGGTGAGAATAGTTACATTTACCTTTATCATTAGGATTTAAAAAAAAATAAACATGATTGTTTGACAATAAATGGCTTCACCCAACTACAAATTATTATTGGAAAAAAATGCTTTTTCTTATAAAAACTTTTCTTATAAACTTATGAGCAAAACTGTAAAATGTCCTGGTGCCATATTTTATGGAATAAACACAACAAGAGTGGCATAAATCAGGTACAGAAGGACTAGACTATTCAAAAGAGCCAAGACACTAGTGCTCCAGGTCCTGCCACAATACTCAAAGGACATGACTACCCTGTGTTCCAAATTACTATACAAATGATCCTTATACTCATTTACCTAAAAAAAAGTAAACCACAGCCAGATTTTATTGAACAAACCTCCGAATGATATTAGTATTTTTCTTCAAAATGAAAAACTTGCGAAACACTTTAAAGGTTGTAAAGAACTGAAACTGAACTGTTTGTAGCGTAATTTCTGATTCAAAAGCCTTTTAAATCAAAAAAAGATATTTTTCTTCCCCATGTTGCTTGAAAATTGTGCTCTGCTTAATAACATAGAACACCCATCTATAGTATTTTCCTGTTATTAATTGGCCTCACCTGGCAATCAAATTATTACAGGTGTCCGAGATGGTTCTCAGTAATCAACAATTCTATCAATGGGTTAAACTGAAAAAACACAATATTTAATTATTTAAAAAACACAGAAACAACATTTGCTTAAGAATTTGGAACAGAGTGTAGATGTGACAAAACAGCTACAAGTCACATTGTTCCTCTTTTATAAAGGTGATAAGGTTCAGGATGCTTGTCTCCATTAAAGTACTTATATTAAAGGATATATATATATATAGAGAGAGAGAGAGAGCATCACAATTTGTTTGCGTTTGTTTTTCCAGAAATGCAGATCACACGAACAACTCTTGCAGTTCTCGGCAAGGGCTTCACTTCAGCATCATTTACCTGTGTTTACCTCTTTACTGGAGAACTGTACCCAACTGTTATCAGGTCAGCAATAATGCTTTATTTTAGGAATTCAATCAACCTTAAGTTACAAATTTTGCCTCAAACATTCATACCTCCACTCACAGACACGCTGAGGCAGCTCCAGATGATGAACTTTTCATAATATAAAATGAATACACTTCATTAACAAATCAAGATAACGGCATTAGCTTCTGATAGTGTTGCAGTTGTGATGAGGTAGCAGGACTGATCAGTGTTGCCAGGTGCACTTTATCAGCCTGCGGGCACTTGCTAGGTGCGACTCATCAGCCCGCGGACCTAAATGCGCAACAGCAGAGTTGAACAAGGAGTCAGACTGCTCAGCATGGGAGAAGCAGACTATTTCCCTCGGCTGAGAGCAGCGGATGAATGCCATGGAAGCAACCGGGAGACGAAGGAGCCCAGATGGTGCCCACTGACCGGGTCTGGAGTGTCGCTGCTAGGCCCGCTCATTTCCTACCAGGAGCTGACCACAGGGGACATGGATCTGGTAAGCTCAGAGCCTGGAGCATGGCGGATGCATCAGCGCTGCGAGGTCCCACACCTCTGGCCTGGAAACCCACGCACCACTGGACAGATGGGGTGGAGGCACCCCGCAGCACTCCCTACCACACTACACGGAGCAGCGTGCGCGCTGGACCTGCTCCCCACCACCCGATAGAGAGATGAGTCACTCTGTAATTTTTTCTTGTCTTCTTGTTTGTCCCACAGACAAACTGGGATGGGCCTGGTCTCCACAATGTCCAGAATTGGCTCCATGGCTGCACCAGCTGTCCTAATCCTGGATGAGATCCTTCCAGCTCTTCCTAATATTGTTTATGGAGGATCTGCTGTGATTGCTGGATTAATTGCATTTTTACTCCCAGAAACCCTCAACATTCCTCTGCCAGACACTATTGAGGATGTCGAGGAAAGATGGTAAAGTCTCAGACTTTTTATTCATTGATTCTTTGATGACATTGTAAAATGCAACACTGTGGCCCTTATTACCCACCCATATATCACAGGTATCACAAGCATACATCTAACATTGAAATGTTACCTGGAAAT